ACCACATTAAAATGTCATGGCATGAGGTTTTCCTTTTGCTCATGGCCCTACCTTTCCTTGATGAAACATAAACCAGCAAGATCGGTTGTCTAAAACAAGAGCATGCTGCATTTTTTCTAAATCTGTTTCCTTCTAGTTGTTTTTGTTGTCATTATTACTGTTAGTTACAAAAAATGAAAGCTGGATTATTCTTCACTTTTCATTGACATCAATTTAAACAAATCATAAACACGAAGAAAGAAAGAAAGAAAGAAAGAAAGAAAGAAAGAAAGAAAGAAAGAAAGAAAGAAAGAAAGAAAAGAAAGAAAGAAAGACATATGGAATTAATTTCGTATCTTGACGTTGAGAACCAGCCAGTTCCTGCTGGTCTCTTAAACCATAACCCATTTGGTTCTTTTCTCTCTGGCACCTCTTGTCATTCTGTAGAATCCCTTTCTTGTTTTAAAGTCTTTATGCAGAGAACCAGCACTACCTAGAGCGATAGGTCTTTCGCCCCTTCTCCGATGGAAGTGGGAAGATTTTTAAAGTCCTTCTTGTTTTCATCCCAGTACTGATAAAAACTGGGCTTCCCTTGGCATTTCGGAAATTATTGCATTTTTAAAATTATTGGAATGTAAAAAGGAACCCTCTCACCCCAACTTGGGGGAAAAAAAACGCATCCGTGCGGTAGGAATCAAAACTCCCCAAGCCACAAGCTCCACTGTAAGAGTTTAGCCGCAACATCTACGGAGCTCTATTCGCGCAGCCTCGCTCTTTCTTCCCGCTTCGCTTTCTTTGAATCCTTCTGAAGCTTTGGGCCGCTTTTTCCTCTCCACGGAAAATCGTTACGTTGAGCATTTTTACAGGTAAGAAGGTTTAATAGAAATTAAAAGAAAAACCGAATTTAATAAGAAAGCTTCAATCCGAAACAGCTTCGTCTGAGCCTGGCAGATGCTCGGGCCGCGGAGATTTAATTAATAGCTCTGACAAAGCTTGGGAAGATGTCGATTGGTCGACCTGAATTCTACAAACCATTCCCCCCCTCCCCGCCAGAAAAACAAAACAAAACAGAGCCTAATCCAGTCTTTTGATGTGAACAAACTGGAACTGGTCATATATTAAATGTAATATTAATGATCGACTAATAACGTTTGAATAGGGGCTTCCAATATAAATAAAATACGTGGGAGGCAGGTTGCTTTTTCGAAAGTGGATGCCCCCACCCCCGTCATCCCTCTCGGACCACATTTGTTAAAGGTTTAACGCCTCTAGGGTGTTTGAAAGGGAAAAGTACAAACGCTTCTTTCTGGGAGGAGAAAGTCCGCTTGTTAAACAGAGGGATGTGATTTATAGCGATGAGAAAGTTGTGTTTGTTTGAGGTGGTTCCTGTCGCGGCTAGTCTGTTTCCTAGAAGATCGAATCCGAATCTCTTCCTTCTCTCCATCACATTACTCTTTTTTTGTGTTTGCTATTTGTGGTTAACAAATATATTCCTGATTTGTAAAGCCAGAAGGGACAAGAAAAGAAGACAAAGTTGGCTTGGTGACCAATACATAAGTGATCCATTTAGCCTTTTAGATGTGGGAACACTTTACTAGCATAGTGTTTGCTCCTTTCTTTATACCTTATAATTTGTAGGAATTAATTTGACCTATGAATATTTGGGAATGGCAGCCTGTCTTTTTCTATACCTGGGATCAACCTATAAGGGAGGCATTGATACTCCAGTCCTATGCCTATGAGAAGTCAGTTTCATTGATTTGTGTAAGATTTCCTAGCAGGAAAGTTACTTATAAAATTATGAGGGAACAAGACCAGGCATTTTGCTCCAGATCAACCCAGCTGAGAGCTGGAATTGCTGGAATTTGCTAAGGACCATAATAAATTGACTGACAACTTAAATCCATATAATTTTCTTTACAACTGGATAATCCTATATTTTTTGAAATATTGCAATGCTGTTATATCAAGTATAGAAAACTCTTATGTTCCACTTGCCATGAGGGTTTCTTCTTTTCCCCTCTTTCTTTCTTTCTTTCTTTCTTTCTTTCTTTCTTTCTTTCTTTCTTTTTTTCTTCCAATTGCTTCTTGAAGATTATGTTTTCTATATTTGGGAACAAAAAAGTTTTCCTTTTGTCAAGTTAGACTGTCCTGAAAACCAGAGTTTCATTTTAAAAAATGAGCTAATTAAATGAATAATTACAGCTGAAGGGTCAAATCAAAACAAAAAGTCAGAATTGTTAAATGGATCAAGTCATCAAGGCTGACAGTACATTTGTATTCTGGGCTGAGAATAGCAGTTATAAGAATGAGGATCTTGAAATGCTATATTATCTATAAACATCCCTTATTACTTAAAAATAAAACAAACCATCAAACCTTCAAACTACCTTGGTGTTTAATATTTCCACTGGCAAAGCCAGACTATATTGTAAGAGAATGGCAACCCAACTTGCTCAATGTATCTCTTCTTTCAAAATCTTCCATGATGTGATGACAGATGAAATCCAAGAGGAAACCATGAAACCCTTAACTCTCTGTAATTTAATCGATTTAATCATAAATCATCAACTTGATGAAGAACCAAAGTTTTCATTGATAGAAATTGATATTAATGGGGTAGCTGCTTCTTTAATTCATGTATTGTTTTTCTCCAGTTAGAAGACAAATGGGGGGGGCATGATTGTGGGAGTATTTTCTAATCATTTTTTAAAATCTTAATTGGAATTGTTTAGCTGGCAACTTCTCAAAGGGCCACAAGTCAAAATGACTTCAATACAGCTTCACTGCAATACTAAAGATCTCTAGAGTTGGATTATATCTTAATATATGCAGCATCTCAAAGATCAGATTTTGAATCTGGAGAAGTGCTTCTCTTCAGAAGAAAAAAAGAAATGTGAAAAGTTATAATGTACTATTCCAGGCAAAGGTGGGGGAGAAGAATTATATTTTAAGCATTAAATATACAATTGCAGTCTGCATTTATTTCCTCCTTTGTAAGTTTGTCTAATTTCTATTGCATACCAATGGCTAAGGCTTTAAAATAGGAAGCCTGAGTGGAAGCATATTTGAAAGGATGACTTAACCCCAAACTCCTAAATCATGTCTCACAATGAAAGTCTGTTAAACATTGGCCATTTTGCAATGCTTCATCTTTGCAATTAAAAATTAACTCTTGGTTTCGGCACTTTTCCAGTTTATTATAGATGCCTAGATTCTAATTAGCCTTAGGTATGCTGATGAATGCCCAGATCAAACAGCCTTGAAGAATTTTCCAGTAAAGCAAGAAAAAAATGGGCCAGAAAACTGTTGGTTAATGTGAAACCTAGATAGATGCATAAACACATCCCAGCCCAAAAAACAACAGCTTGGAATTAAGATTCATTGACCTCAGGGCAATTTATTTCTCCTTAAGGGAATGGAGGTAGAAATGTGTGGTGCATGATTGGGATAAAAAACAGCATTAAAAAACCCTGTAATAAATGACTTAGAGCAACCTTAAACTTAGACTGACATGGTTTTCTAGATTTAATGGAGTTGCTCTGGAGAAAACCAAGTGGCAGAATCAAAAATGAAGCAATAAAGAGCTGAACACCAGTAAGTTATAAGCACAGGACGTAAGTGTGCTTCTCTGTGTTTTCCTTACCTCTACCTCATTCTATGCCATCCTTTCAGTCATTCAGTCAGTCATTCCCACATTCAGTCATTGTATGAAATAGAGAAGCCATAACATCTTTGCTGCTGTTTCTGAGCAGTTCCCAGACTAGGGACACTGAATGGGGAGCAGCATAAAACAGATATTTATTGCATTTGCTACTACTTACTCATTTATTCTTCCAAGGAGTTTATGTCCCTCCTTTATCTGGAAATCCATTAAACTCATTAAAAATAAAAGTTTGCACAGTGGCGGTCAATTATATGACTGGTTTTTATGACATACATACATACATACATACATACATACATACATATATATATATATATATATATATATATATATTTCTAGGCTTCTTTGGGAACAAGTATATAAAGCTAAAATAAATAATAGATAACAGATATTCTGTCTATTTCTCTGTGTGAGTGAGTATAACTTATTGATGTTAAGTGTAGGAAAAGAATATAAACGTTCTTGAAGTTTATTACATTTTTCAGGAATATCATTGACTTAACTCTTGCCTACTTTGCCAACTCACAATTTAAGAATAATCAAACTTGGGAAGTAAAATGCTTGCATGTCTGAAAGGCCTATCCTCTTTCATTCTCTAGGCATAATTCCATCCTGTGGGGTCAAATCATCAACTTCTTTCTCAAGAAGAAGTAAGTGGATTTCAAATTCAAACTTGTGTTTTTTAAAAAAATATTTTTGAGATTAATTCAATTTCCATTCTGTCAGAATTAAACATTCTTTTGCTGAGATTCTATTGAATTTTAGACAGTTCTTTCCTTTCTAAGCTACACAATGTATATATAGTTTGTTATAAATAATTAGTCATGTCTATTGCCTTGCATTTTTGCATGCAAATCAGTAAAGAGGTACATTTTGAGTATGTGATTAACAAAACAAAGTTTAAAAGTAAATCATTTTCGCTTTTATCCTCTTCAGCAATTCTGAGGTGAATCACTCTCATATGATATATGTCTCTGTCTGTCTATCTATCTATCTATCTATCTATCTATCTATCTATCTATCTATCTATCTATCTATCTATCTCGAATTTTCTGTGTTTGATACTCACTGAGCTATCAGCTCTGAACATACTGATCTGACTCTGTGAAAGTTCTTACATACCAGCTTGGCCACCCTGCAGTGCTCTAGAAACCTTGGATTACAACTCCTATAATCTTCAATCAGTATTGCATTATTTCCTGTGATTAAAGATACCAGCCAAATTGGTATGTAAGAACTTTTTCACATAGCCAGAGAGATCAGTATGTTCAGAGCTGGGTAGAGTATCAAACACAGAAAATAGGTAGGTGGGTAGGTAGGTAGGTAGGTAGGTAGGTAGGTAGGTAGGTAGGTAGGTAGGTAGATAGATAGATAGATAGATAGATAGATAGATAGATAGATAGATAGATAGATAGATTAGTAGGCAAGCAGGCAGGCAGACAGCTAGACATGATGGAAACTTAACCAACATTTTAGATCCCAAGAATGTGGACTTCACCTTCTAACTTCATTAAATCCTTACTAGATAGATATGTCAGGTCACATCTCTCAATATTTTACTTGGAGGTAAATCACATTCAATTCAAAAGGATATTCTTGGTTTTCATAAGCAGGCTGTATTGCAGTGTTGGTTAGATGAGCAGATTTTTCACTGACCTGAGAGAAAGTTTAAGGGAAAGCAAGTTTAGATGGATCACAAGATGCTCAAGGGTAAATGTTTTCTTCCAATATATGCTTTTGTTTTAGGCCTTTTCTCAATCTTGAGAGATTCTGAGTGGTGTTGAAATGAATCTTTTCCCTGAAATTTCAGAAGTAGGAAGCACTCTAAAGGCTGAGATGTTTCATTCCAACCAGGACCAGGATGAAGGGGAATATGGGGGGAAAATGGAGCACTACTCTGGGATACAGGAATAGAGCCTCATTTCCACACCGGATCTCCCCTTTTTCCTGGCTTTGTTGACAAGGCAACCAGCATGGTCCACTGCAAAATGAGACATCCCCTCTGGCATTTACCTCTTCCTCCCTCTTTTCTTTTCCCAAAGGCTGCTGCATCCTATTTCAGAGCAGCCAAAGTGGTTGCCAAATATTTTAGTGGCACATTTAAACTTTTCTCTATATATTGATTTTTGCACACTCCATACATATTGATTTTGTGCATTTAAGCGTGTCATCTCAAACTTTTATAAAGTATTGTTTGATACTATAAGTCCTTTCTCTCCCCCCTCCCCCATATTTTGAAATGCCTACAAGCCTAATAGCAAGACTGAATAGACTGTAATGTGGTAGGCCAGAGGCTGGGGGGGGGGGGAACCATAAGGAAAATTCTGCTTAGGAATTTAAGTTTAATAATAATTTAAGTAAAGGATTCCAAGAATTGAAAAGGAAAGTGCCACCAATGGAAAAGTTAGGATTCTGCACAATATTAATCTTGTCATATGAAACTGATAATATCTTATACTTTAAAGTCTAGTGCAGATACTAAGAAAGGACAACTCTTCACTTTATGTTGAATTTTATCAAATGTATTGTAGCTGTGCCTGAGAAGAGGAGTGTCTTAAAAGCCTTTGGAAATAAGTCCCCTTGCAAGTTGGATGAGGTTAGAAATCCAAAGATATATACTTTGACAATGAGATTGTTTTTTTCTTTGAGTTCTGCTTTGAAAATGTTGACAAGGTTATTAGCTGGTATTCATTTAGATCTTTCCAGGAATGGGGGTGAGATATGAAACAGATTGAAATTCTGAGGATTTCTCCCTCTCCCTCCCTTCTCCCTTTTAGCTGTTTGTTTATGTGTAATATTTTGGAAGTAATTCAGAACTACTTCTGTTGATTTGACCATTAATCCAGTGAGTTACTACCATCAAGGAAAACAAGAAAAACAATTGATTGAGATTGGCTTCTAGGTAGAATTTGTGTCTTATCTTAGATCAAAGAAGTTTAAAAGGGTTAGATTTCATGGATACATATCTGATATAGATATATATTCAACCATAGACATCTATCTATTCATAAATCTTTTTAAATTTGGAGTCATTCTAACATTATCATTAGATAATGGAGAGGTTCTTCAAGCAAGATCCCAAATATTTTTGTATATGGATATGTTTCATAATTATTTCTTTGATAATCGTCTTTCACAATCTTACCTCCTACAAGGAAGAGTCCAACATGGAAGATACCATAGTGAGGAAGGTTGCCCCTCATTCCTAAAATCTACTTTTGAGTATCTTTTGTTTTGCTAATGTTTCAGTAATAAAATGTTTAAAGATTAGAAGCATAGGCATATATAATTTTTCCATACACGGTTGATGGATAGATAGGATTGAGAGTAAAATTTAGGATGAGTTCCTTGAACTGAAATCAGTAACTATTAAAGTCTGATTTTCATGTTTTGTCTCCAACTAGGAGTAATAATAAGATTAGTTATAAATATAAGCCTTATATTTATAATTAACTGAGACACAATCTACTTCCAATCAATGAAACAAAGTATTTAACTTCCATAGATGTTGGTTTCATATCCACAGAAAAAAGCTAGGATATAAAACAACAAATAGATAACATTACAGCAATTGCTACACTAATTGCACTAATAAATAAAACAATACACTGACCCACTCACATACCACTGGGAATAAATTATGTTGAATAAAAGAAGACCAGGGCCACTCCTCAATAAGAGACAAAGAATTTGTAGCATTCTAGATATTGGAGAATTATTACTTCCAGCAGGCCTTATCACTGGCTGGGTTATGTCTGGGGGGAATTGGAATCTAAGTTCTGAAAGACCACATATTTCTCATCCCTTCACTGATGTGAAGAACCACTGCAATACTGAATGAGAAAGCACCAGTTATTTTTTACTGCATTTCCTAACCAGTTACTTAACTGGTGTTTAATAGTTGGATTCTGAATAGCAACTCTTCTGTAGTGAATGAGATAGCAATACAAGAGCTACAAGGCTTTGGTGTACCAGGCAAAAGATTACTTTTTCCCACTGTCCAGAGATTAATGTCCTAGATTATTACCTTAAAACAGTTCCAACTCAAATATATTCTATTGCAACTCCCAAAAGCTCCAGCAGCCAGCATGCCTGACCAACCTTCCCAGACTGATGCCTCTCCCTGCCCCCTCCCCAGATGGCTGGTTCATAACAGTCCTGACTACCAACAAACAATGATCACTCTCAGAGGCTGGGACAATGGGAGTTGTGTATGGTATATTAAAAGGGCATAGGTAAGAGATCAATATAATTCTATGCTGCCTTATCCTCAACTGTCAAAATCCAGCAGCTGTGATTTAAAGATTTTTTTTTTTTAAAAAGAACATTTTCCCAATTTACTTTGTAAAAGGCCCAGTCCACAGCCACTGAACTACCCTGAAGCTGTCTGATTGAGGTGAAACCCTATATTTCAGGTTTAGTCACAAGAGAAAGCAATAATTGGTTGGGTGATTCTGCAATTGAACATGAGGATATCTCAAAGGTGCTAGAACTGAATAAGCTTCTTGAATGAGAAGTGAAACATTTTCAAAGGAGAAAACTAAGACAGTCCAATTGCCTTTTGGAAAAAGCATCTTTGAGACAACCATGACCTGGATGATTGAGAACCTCCATAGACAAATGTGTGGATTAACTTTCCTACACACTCTCTTCAAGATATCAGCCATATTCAAGGTATCCCGGAATGGGTAAGTATATTCCACATTTCTAGTGGGCACCAAATTGTCAAAGAAATGAACTGCAGTAACAATATAGTAATTTTTAAATCTTCAGCTTCATTGAGTTGTTTTAGCACATGACAAGAGATCTTTTAATAGCACAGAATTGGTATTAGTATTGCAATAATTCAGCTGTAACCTGTTGGATTTTTAAGAGTCTAGAAGCACTTTAAAAAATAGCCAATCGTTTTATTTATAGAACAAATGATTTCTGCTGGAAGCCAGAAATGGAGAACCCACGAGGATCTGGTATCCGTGGACTGGTGCCAACTCGGTGGCAGTTCAAACGGGCCGGCACTTTTAGTAACAACATGGAGCGCCCGGAATGAAGCTCAGATTGTTGCCAGAGGCCGCAGATCCGAGAAGGAGGTGCTGGGAGGGAGAGGGAGGGGGGCTCCCGGCCATGATTTATATTCTTGAGGTTGTGTGACATACGGGGATACCGAGCCGAGGACTGTGGGTGGGTGGTTAGCGGACGTTTTTATTACAGATTAATAATATTAGCATTCAGAACGGGAAACGAGGTTACTGGAGCCAAGGAATGTTTCCCCAAACGAAAATATTTTAAAACGATCTCTCCTTTCACAAACGAAACCTTCTCCCCATTTTAAAGATAGGTCTCTCTCTGTTCACCTCCCACTAATTCTAGGTTCATTGCTTGGCGGCGTCCTTTTCTCTTACTGTCACACGTGAAGGTCAACTGCCAAATAAATGTCTTTTTACACCTGAACGTACCCCGGTGAAATTATAGCTCTGTTCTCAGGCAGATTTTAAATTGAGAACGAGCGGCCCAGCTAATATTTTATCTGAAGAGTTCCGTCCCTGTCACGAAAGATCAAGAGCACAGAATTGTGTCCGCCCATTTTATGCTTAGGGAAAAAAAATCTATCAGACTTCCTGTAGGAGATGAGCTTAATTCGGGGATGAGGATTTACCTAATTCCTCTTTTTTTCTGCACGAAGATATTGTCTCACTTTCGCTTGCCGAAAAACAACAACAAATGCTAACTGTTAAGAAACGCAAGTCTGCCTTGCGTCTTCTTCTACTGTAAACGGGAAGAAGCGGCGCTTTGGTGCCCGGGAAAGCTCACATTAAGGCTTTGTTTTTCCTCAACGAAAATAAGTGATTTGGATAACTGTTGTACCATTTAAAAATTGAGAACTGGGCAGTTCAGTGCACATAAAAAAGTGTTAGGACAAAAAGTCTCAAAAATCGCTTTTGGATGCTTGAGGATGAGTTAGTCCAGAGACCCGCTGCTTTTTTTCAAACTAGTGGCTTTCAGGACTAAACATCCGCCACCTCGGTTTCAAGTATTGTAGAGTATTGCATTAATGATGGTAATAACAGCAACAATGAATTGCAGGTAATGCGGCTGAAGGGATTCTTAGATTTCTGTTTGGAGTAAAACAAAAAAAAAATCACTCCCATCATCGCAAACATATTTATTTTAAAGTAAACGTTCTGTTATGCATTTCTCCTCCCAACATTTGCCCCTTACCTCTTTCTCTTTCTTTAAACAGACCCCTCCTTTTTCAATTTGTTCTTTTCTATTATATCTCCTGGATCACTTGCCTGAGTTTTTAATAGTACATTTGTGACCTACTTGGCACATCCCAAGCTACTTCACTAACACCACCACAAGTGTGTAACCTTTAATTTTGCAGAGGAGGGTTGATTCCTTACCCATACCTTGCTTTGAGTTTATTCCTTCCAAAGCAATCCTATATATGCTATTCAGAAGAAAATGCCAAGGAGTTTTTTTTAGGATTTATTCCCAGATAAAATTTTGTAGAGTTGCTAAGTAACTGCACAGTTATCCTATTTATTCACAACCACGATCTATTCAATTTGGTTTAGTCGAAGAAAATCTTTAAAAAATCTGAAATAAATATTGACTTGGTAAACTGAACTACAGATAATAAATGGAGGAAGAAATACAAATTCCCAATGTTAAATCTTGCTTTTTTTTGGCAACTATCCTCCAATCTTGTCACTTAGGCAAAGAGACTAAACTAAACTATATAAAAGAGTATATTTTATCCTGGTAAAAGTTAGTTTACCGTCTGTGGTGGTCTAAAAGTAATTCTGTAGATGAAAAAGATGTTTGGTATCCAATCTTGTAATGGTAATCCAAATTAAAAAAAATAGCCTAATATTGCAAAAAGCATCCTTCTTAGTCGTTTAAGAAAGCCTGGCCAGAAGAAGCTAATATCCAAGTGGAGGTCCAAGATATTCATCTGTATTTCTAGAAACATTCGGTGTAGATCAAAGGTAAAGTTGGATTTAGCCAAGGGCTCAGATGAAAAAGTTTCTCCCTGCAAAAATATTATTAAAAAATCCTTAGGCTAAATATGATGTTTTGGGATAGCCAAGGTATCTGAGGAAAGAAACCAGACCATTCCAGCACTTCTTCCTTTTCTCAATGCCAGTTCTTGTCAATTCAGCAACTAAGCACCCCAAAAGGCATAACTAGAAAAAAGATTGGGGAAGAAATAACAATGGATCTCTCATTTTGACACACTTACAGGCCTAAAAATGTGCAGAGACCTCAACTTCTTCCTCCCACTCTCAGTTGTAATGGCAACTCTCTTTCCTGACAGCAGCAAAAACTGGTGTGAACCTTTTGTTTTTGCAAGCAAAGCTCCCTTTGGACAGGACAGGGGTAATAAATCTAAAGTTACTTTGACATCATTTATCTGAGGCTACAGCTATCTTTGTCTGTCTGTCTGTCTGTCTGTCTGTCTGTCTGTCTGTCTGTCTGTCTGTCTGTCTATCTATCTATCTATCTATCTATCTATCTTCTACATCCACTCATCCATCCATTGGCTTACTTTACTTTTCCCATGTCAAATTGTTTCATACATCCCCATTCCAATTTCATAACTTAGAAGTAACTCTCAACAAGAAAATGGTTTTGTACCTTTGTACCTTATATGCACAAAATAACACAATTGGCTTCCAGAAATGTGCATTTTTTATTTCTTAATACAGAGGCATCTCTTCCATGTTCAATCACACATTGCCAGAGCATACAAACCCAATTACAAAATATGGTTTAATATATAAACTTGATTTGACTCTCCTATTTTATACCCCCTTGAATGTTTAAAATTTCACTAATACACACACATACAAAGCTTCATGCTACATGTTTCTGTTACCTTCCCTTGAAGAGTAGCCATCATAATTATGTCATATTCTCTATATATGACATCTAGTTTGCACCAGCTGAAGTAACAGAATATCAAAAGGTTTCTTCTGTAGCTGTACTAAAATCTCAGTAGAAGAGAAAAAGTGTAGGATGGAGGAAGAAAGAGAATAGGATGATAGAAAGAGGTGGGGGGAATAGGATGCTCTTTCCGAAGATTTATTAGCATAACTTAACATGTAGTTGAGAAACATGTGGATCAATACAACTCCAGTTCTCCTGCTAGGCCTCTGTATCCACTATGTCTCTATTTGCATATTGCCTTTTCCTTAACTGACACTGTCAGGAAGCAACTTGGCATTTGCCCAAGCCCTCCAAAGCCCACAAGCACACACACACACACACACCCCATCGCTATTCCCCTTGCCTGATACAAAGTCTTTTTACATACATATCTCTTTACCCCCCCCCACTTTAAATAGCAAGCAGGTTATAGTATTAGAATTAGCACTAATATTAGTGTTATGTTTAAGCCTCTGTCTAGGCATTGCCTTATTGAAGGCTTGATATAAGCATTCTTTCTGTTTTCTCCTCCTTGGTACTCTGTCTGTCGGTTGGTCTGTCTATCCTTCTCTCCAGCTCTCTCTCTTCTCTTGCCTTCTGCTGTAAAGCCAGAGGCCATTGTTAACCGTGAACAGGGCGTAGAGAGAGTATAGGGCAGTCAGAATCCTCAATATCTTTGGAAGGCTGTCGAGAATCTTGTGATTTCTCCCTCTTCTCACCTTCCCCCTCCTCCCCAAACGGACAGAGAGAGAGAGAGAGAGAGAGAGAAAGAGAGAGAGAGAGAGGAGCATCCCTCACCAGAGCTTCTATATAGAGATTCCCCCCTCCCTTTGGCGTTATGACCGGATTTCTCTCTCTAGATATTCCTTGAACATTTTTTTTAACCGAGAGGAATGGGGGGAGCTCTCCTCGCTTATTGATTGCGTTGCTTGCTGGCTGCGAAAATATATTATGTCTGCTCGCCGCGCTGCTCTCGTCAGAGGCTAAGGTAAGGTGGACCGAAATAGGCTATCAGTTGTGAATGGCGGAGACCGTGTCTCCATGATTTATAGCTGTATGACTCGCATCGCGGTTCATGAAGAGTTCACAAGCTCTAAGCTTCCTTCCACGCAGCGACTCTCTCTTGCTCGCATGCTCTCTTCTTCTTCTTCCCCCTCCTTCCCTTCCCTCCCCTTTTCTTCTACCCCCCTTTTGCTCTCTTTTTGCTATTTTGAATTCTTTATTTTCCTTCTCTTTATTCTTCCTTTTTTTTAGTCAAATGGTTTCTTTCTATTTCCTTCCTTCCTTCTTCCTTCCTTCCTTCGTTTTTTTCTAATTTAGGCTCTAATGAATACAGTAGTCTTTTACGTTGAATTATTATATTGTTCTATACTTATCATTAAAAAAGCTGATTAATTTTATTCTAGCATAGTAATATAATTATGATTTTTCCCACCCATTATGGAGGTTAAAGGGGAAAAGGTTATGTTTTATTCCACCTCGGCCTTACAATCTTCCTTCAATTTTATCACAAGCTTTTGGACTCTTCAGTTTGTTTTTGTTTCTTTAAATATAGTTTATAAAAGTCCTTAAGAAAAGAGGCGTTTGTTTTGAAATATCCTTGGGAATAAAAATGAAACTTCCAAGCTGGCAAGAAACAACTTCAGGGTTGTGGTTGACATTTCAACAACTAATTGCAAAGACACGATCTGATTTCTCATTCATTATTCCAATGGATATTTCTCTATGTATGTGTGTGTGTGCATGTGTTTAACTACCACAACAATTCCTTGGAGTAAATCATTTACGATTCCATCCGTCTTAGAGTAAGACAAATGACCGACATTTAGAAAGTGTTGAAAGATGAGGTACAAAAAGGGATCCAAATGTTAGCTACTGAGTGCATAGACTACTTTGAATTCCTTTTTTGGTAGAAAAGAGATTAATATTTTAAAGATGCAGCTTAATTTAAGCCAACAAAAGCAAAAACCCTTTGGTGCCTATTTCTCCTAGGCCTTCCAGCGTTCCTAGAAAATCCAATCCAAAACAAACCTCGAAGGCCTAGAGAGAAGATAATAATGGCTGAGTCAAGGTACTCAAGCTTCCACTTTCATCAGACAATCTTTTTTCTGTCTTCTTCAAGCCATTTGAAGAACAATGCTAGATTATAATGCTAGAAATATTTCCTGGGTGCTGAATAAATGCAGGGCAGCTGCCCTAATTCTTTCCAGGAACACCTGGCCAGGGAAGATTTTAGATGCCTCTAGAGACCAATGGCTACAGTTCCCAGGCCAGGGCAAAGAATGAAGAGGAAGAGGTGAGCTATACCGTAAATTTTGAATTGAATCATTATAGTCTATTTGCTGTTCCCCCGACAATGGGAAGAACTGAGTGGTGCCTTCAATACTATTGTTTATGCCCGAAAGGAAGGAAAATGGAATACAGCTACCTGGATTGAAATGAAGCAGAGAAGGGTTGAAGAGAAATAAAGAGAATTCCTTTCCATAGATGCATGTTTTGCTCTATTAAATGCATTATAGCTTTTATTACATTTATAAAATTAATTTTCCTAGCCGTGAAAGGAGTCCCCTTTCTTTGGGAAGCATATCAGCTCCCATCTTAAGTAAAATAAAATACTAACATAAAAGTAAAAGAGAAACAAAAGCAAGGAACCAAATGGTTTTGTGAGGAAAAAACAGGATTTGTTTTGTTCAAAGAGCAGTTGAGAAGTGGGTTGTAGCTGGGCTTTAGGAAAGAGAGAGGCCAGCTCACACCTTGAGCAGTAACAAGACAAAATTTTAACGACTCAGGGAAGAGCAGTTTCCACAGCCAATTTCAAACGCAGCCAGGGTTGCAAAAACAGCTTCAAAAGAACCAACATCAAAGAACTTGAGCTCATTCCTCTTTTGAAAGCAGCAGATTAAGTAAATCAAATCTGGAAATATTTTCAGTTTGATAAATGTTGAACCTCAGAAGCACTTAAAGATAAAGTTAAATATAATTTTATTCAATTTGCACTTAGGTTTGTTTTTCCAAAAGTTCTCAATCCTGAATTGGGAAAATGTTATATTTTAATTTTGCAGGTGAGAAACACTTGGTAATTCTATTTGAATGCCTGAGTTTACGCAAATGCTACTAAAATTCATTCCAAATAGATTTTCCAAGTGACTTTCCACCTCAGGTATAGTTTATGTGTAAGTAAATTCCACAGATTTCCGGAATTTTAACTTCCAAGTCCCCTCCCGTCCCTGTTTTCTTCGTCTTCATTCAGCCCCTTTAATAAATAAGCCGTAGCGATCCATTCACTTCCTTGGCACGTGGAAATAAAATACCTGGCTCTTGCATTGGAGCAAGTGTGCGCGCGTGTGTGAAAAGGCTAGTGTGTAGAGAGGTAGTTGGACTATACCCACGGCTGAGATTTTGGAGAATTGAGTTGAACGGTCTAAAAGAAATCCTGCGACAGCGATTTCTTTCTCGGTCTACAGGAACTAAATATATGGTGCAGTTAAAATAAATAAGCAGACTAACAAAAACGACTGAACTTTAGAACAACAGAAGAGGGAAACGCCACTGAGGAATCGATTTGGTGAACGGTTCGTTCGCCTGTTCGAAGCCCCCTCTTTGTGTGTATGTTTGTGTGTGTCTCTCTCTGTGTATTGTATGTGCATATCTAGAAATCTTAGCCCAGTGGAGAGAGGCGAGGTACATCCAGAGCACCCGGCAAAAAGCTGTTGGCGGCGGCAGCATCTGCTCCCCGCTCCCGGCCCTCCTCCGTAGCCGGCCAGCTATTCATGTCACGCGCTTTTCAACCGCTAAGATGGATTCAGAGGCCGAGCCGTATCATTGTGTGTGCCTTCTAACCTTTCAGGTCATCTTCCAAAAGACACCGGGGGAAGGGAAGGCCCCTTGTCACGTGACCCGGGGGGTGCCAATGTCCTTCCATGAGAAGGCCAACCGGAGCCTGGTAGCAGCGAGCGAGCGCCTCGGGGAACCCCAGCCATGCAGAAGACCAGCTACTACGACACTTCCACGCTCTTTGGGGCTTACTCCTACCCGGGGGCCAACGGCTTCGGTTACGAGGGCCCTTCTCCGCAGCCTTTCCAGCCCGCGGCTCATGTGGAGAGCGATTACCAGCGGCCCGCCTGTACCCTCCAGTCTCTGGGCAACGCGGCCCCACTGGGCAAGGCGAAGGACCTGAACGGGAGTTGCCTGCGCCCCAGCTTGCCTCAGGAGCACCACCCGCCCCCGCCCGTCTCACCACCCACCAACCCCAGCACCGCCACCAGCGGGAGCGGCAGCACCACATCCAACAGCACCGGCGGCAGCAATAACCATAGCCAATCGGGGGCGGTCAAAAGTGTCCCCAGCAAATCCAGCCTGGCCTCTAGTAACGCCGCCCTTACCAAGCAGATTTTCCCTTGGATGAAAGAGTCGAGGCAAAACGCCAAGCAGAAAAACAGCTCCCCCTGTGCAGGTATCTTCTGCTTTTGGAAATAGCCCCACGCTTCCCATGCACCTACAGTGCCTATTACTCCCTCCCTGGCACATACACAAGCAAGCCCAGTTTAGTTATAGAAAGCTGGTGATGGGGTGTAGGAAGTGGTGAAGGAGTGCCCCCGACAATGCCAGGCACTATGTGTGTAGTGCCATGCTCTCCAACACTCCCACCCCACCCATCTGAAGGATTTAGGCTTGGGAGCCAGGCTGCTTGGTTCTAGAAGAACAACATTTAAGTTGGGGCAGCAACTTGGGTAGAACTACAATCCACATCAGCAGAACCATGCTAGTTCAGGACTGATGATGTCAGTGATCTTATTTTACATATTTGGATTAGAAGAAAGTGGGTGATTAAGATATGGGAGAAAAAGGATCTGCTTGGAAATTGGATCTTGAGGGGAAAGCTTGTTATTTAAGTGAGAAATGGCTTGCAACAAAGACAGGAATCTATCCCAGAGACAGAGTTTTGAGAGTGCCAGAAGGGAAATAGAACAAAGTATGGTGCAGTAGGAATGATTTTGTGAACTGTGCATGAAGACAGAAGGGCTAAAGGTGACAATGGGGGAGCAAAAGGTTCCTCATGTCAGTTATATGTATTAATAAGTTCAACCTCCTTCCTACCTCCATTCCTTCAAAAGATATGGATTTAGATACTAATTACACATGAGTATTAGTATCATCTACTTATATTGAGTTAATTCTCTGGTTCTGCCGTTAGTAAAATTGGGATTCAAAACACTCCCCTTTTTGATGGCCAGAAGTTAACTTCCATTTAGTCCCAGCTGTTGGATGCAGGATAGGTTTCTACAGGTGAGATGGTCATTCTGTAATGCTCCTTATTAAAAAAAGAACATAAACCTCTTTCCTGAAGGTAAAATACAATTGAATCCAAAAGCTTGCAGTTATCTTTGTCTCATGACAGAGAATCTTGCTGGTTTTGATGACTCTCCAAAGGGCTTCTATCCACCCTTCCACTATAGGGTCCTGTCATCTTCTTTCTCAGTCTGCTGGATGTAGAACATGTCTTCTTCAAGCCAGACAATCTGGGCAAAGCTGAGTTATGGTCTCTAGTTATAATGTCTGTTTTTTACACCTGACAAAATGTATTTCCATCAAAGTCCTGAGATGTCTTTTATACTCCATTTTATATGCCATTGGTTTAGCATGGATGCTCACTAATATCCAGCAGAGATTGTCTAATTTGTTGCAGGCATGAAAGCTACTGTTTCCCAATCTCCATCTTCTAATACTGTATAAAATGTGTTTTGTCCATGTATAATGTAGTCATTTAATCCAAATCTTGCCTGGTAGGAAAAGAGGTTTATTTGGAGGTTTTTTGCTTGATATTGGGGATAACTGGTTTTATAGAGGACAAAGTTTATAATAGCCACAAATGTCAATGGCTCCAGATTCATTTCTAAATACTTTGGTGTCAAGATCCTAAAATGAAATGGAAGCAAGTGAGAATAATGTCATTAAAACTCAATTCTAAATATACTTAGGTTACAGTTCTTTTTTTAGGTATACATTCTTTGAAGTCAGTGATGTTCCTTTCCTAATATGAATAATTTTTTGAGGATTAATCTTCTTATAGCCAATGTGCTATACTAAGTAATTTTGAATGAGCATCCCTATTCAAAGTTGTGTACTATGACACAATTTAATTTGGATGAATAATTTGCATGAATATGTTATTGCACAAAAGGTATAGAACTAAGTCATGCTTGAATTAAGAGAGCAACCAGATTAATATGTTTGAGCATGTTAATATGGTCCTACTAAAAGGCAATAGCTGGAATCCCAGTGTGGCATCTATGTGCCTGGAGATATCACATCTGATAGACTTTTTACATTTAAAAAAAACATTTCAATTAAAAATGAATTGGAAATTGGCATGCTGCATGAGCAAAGCACCATCCTCCAGCGTCACCTTTATTAACTCTAATGTCTTTGGGCCCCAATGGACTCTGTTAGGTTGCTTTATAATTTTTTTTAAGAAAATAAAAATGATAGGTGGCTGCAGCCCAGTACTATTTCTGGATGCATGTCCACTAGCCCAGAGTAAGGACCTACAGGGGAACAGCCACAGTGGATGGAGGGGTAGGTGGCATTCTGATAAATCCGTATTGTTTTTCCCCATGGCAGTCATTTGGGGAAAGAATAAATTCCCAAGCAACCATTCTAAGAGAGCACCCCACAGTGTATTTTAAAATTCCAAATGTGCCAGTGAAAACAAAAGGTTTGGGAACCCCTGGGACATATTATATCCTGATTTTCATATAGTAATTCCTCTTGCATAATCTTTAAATTTTTGAATAAAAATTTGCAAATGTTGCATTGACTAAATATTGATGGAATCATATCCTAAAATAACAACTATATGAATTAGATTCAGTTTCACACATGCCTATGATTCAGAACTAAACGCAAGAGCTTTCCTCCTTTACTGAACAGTATGTTTTAAAGAGAGAACTTTTTAAAGGCAATTTCATAAACCACTTGTCCCGAGGGGCATGTGAACTCTCATCAGTGTTAACCAAATCTGTATCAACTTCGCCCTCAAATCCTGATTTTGTTCCATATAAAATCATTTTCTTAAAATTCTTACACTTTTTTTTACCTCTCTGCTCAATGCACGAACACAGGAATTTTACCATGCATCAGAACAGTGCAGGGAATGTTACCAATTTAACAGATGTTAACTATGGCTTCAAATTATTTGTGATTCCTCCAGGTACCATGTATCTTTGTATATATGTATGTTTACACATATTTGGGGGTATAGGTTTCTTATTTCATCCTGCAGTGGATAGACAATGGCTAAAATGATGATGATGACGAAGTTTCTTACAATGCAAAACACTCGCAAATAATGCAGAGAATAAGCGTATGGTTGAAGGGTGATAGATTCTTGAGCAATAGACTGGGGATTTTTTCCTTTTCAGATTGTGTGTAGAAATCATTTGAAAAAAAAAAACACTTTCCATATTACACTTGCTTCTTTGATGGGGAAAAAAAAAGGATTTCTACAATGGGGGAGGGGCTATTTATTATTAATGGCTCCCCCTATTGCAGTTTGAAATGATTAGTCCAACTGCATTGCCTTAAATTCTCTGTTAACCTATTCTTTTGTATGTGTACCCTGGGCTTGAGTCTTTAGTCAATCTTTCTTGTAAATCAGGATTGGAAGGTTGGTGAGCAATTCCCAGCTCCTTAAAAAACAAACACAATTCCCATTTACTTTAAAGCACAGGGTAAATATCAGAATATGGATGCAAAGCTTGCTTACCTTTCCTAAATACATCTTTTACACTTTTGATTATAATTTTTTTGGACACAATCCAACAAGAAATTCTCCCATGCAGTCCTCCCTTTGAATAAGTGGGAACTTGCAATGGGCTTGTCCCCCTTTTCAAAAGTGCAGAGTTTGTGTGTGTTTGTGTGTGTGAATCCTGGAAGCAGTTACATCTCTCAAAGCAGGCAGGCATCCACTTTTGTGGACTAATTTAGACTAGCAGACCTGATAAGCTACAAGCAGGGCAGGTCTATATACCTAGGTGCTTCATTTTGCCTTGCTAACCTCTCCCACATAATTTCCTCTGAAAGGGTCTGCTTCAAAATAATCGACTCCCAAATAAATTGCCCTGGATTTCTTTTCTGCATGACATGATCAAATTTTCATAAAGCGTGGGGCAGCTTTGGAGAACAGAACTCTTAATAAATGACATGATTATGGAGTGGGGACTGGGGGGGAGAGTGTAGCCTTCTCGCCCATAGGAGGATTTATTAAGAAGCCTGTGCATTCAATTTTCTGCATGTAAGTAATTATCTTTGATTTCATTTCCCGACCTTCTTTCCAGAAAGCTGCAGCAGCGAGAAAAGCCCCCCAGGCTCCTCAGCTTCCAAGAGGGCCCGCACAGCTTACACCAGCGCCCAGCTGGTCGAGCTGGAGAAGGAATTCCATTTCAACCGCTATCTTTGCAGACCACGCCGAGTAGAGATGGCCAACCTGTTAAACCTCAGTGAGCGGCAGATCAAGATCTGGTTCCAGAATCGGAGAATGAAGTACAAAAAGGATCAGAAGTCAAAAGGCCTTGGGTCATCCTCTGGGGGGCCTTCCCCCACAGGGAGCCCTCCTCAAGCCTTACAGTCCTCTGCAGGCTTTCTAAATGCCCTACACCCCATGACTTCAAACTATGAAGCTCCATCTCCGCCCTCTTTCAACAAACCACACCAGAATGCCTATGCCATGCCCACTGCCTACCAAAACCCCATCAAAGGATGCCCCAGCCAACAGAAGTATGCCAACACGGCACCCGAGTATGATCCTCATGTTTTACAGGGTAATGGGAGTGGCAGTTATGGCCCCCCCAATATGCAAGGCAGCCCAGTCTACGTGGGTGGCAATTATGTGGATTCTATGCCCAACTCTGCTTCATCGCTTTATGGGCTGAACCCCCTTCAACATCACCAGCCCCCCAGCATGGAGTACAATGGGGGCCCCCAGATGGGCTCCAACCAGCACCATGGGCCTTGTGAGGCTCACCCAACCTATACAGACCTTTCTTCCCACCATGCTTCTACTCAGGGTAGAATCCAAGAGGCACCCAAGCTGACCCATCTGTGATGAAGAGCAGAGCAGACTCAGTGGGGAACTAATAGAGAAGGGAAGTGGATGTGGGATTGGTGAGTCAGGGGACAGACTTGTGGTTAAAATCCTGGCCTCTTCTTTTGCAAAAAGAAACAAACAAACATTTGTGTTGTAACCCATTATGAAACCCAAACCTATTGTTTCAGGGGCACAGTTTATTCATGCTGTGTCTTGCCATTCCTGCTAGATTTGATCCTAGGATGAAAAATTGGTTAGGAGACTTATGGCTAAACCATACTCTCTGGAGTAGAAGTATTTCTGTATATTCCCCTCTCAAAGAAAGATGAAAACACCAGACAGCCTAGTGCCCTTCATGTGGTTGAGATAACGATCTTTAGATTAAAATGAACAGATCCTGGGGATCAGCCCTGGCTAAGCTCTAAAAGACCTGTTGTAAGCCCAGGGTAAGAATGGTCAGACTAGTGTAACACCAAAGTGCAAAAAAGTCTGTAAGGCTGTGGAATCTATTCCTTTTTCTTCAGTGTGAAGTTATTTTGAGAAATGCATCTTAAACACATTCTATCTTTTGTGTTCTAGTCTAATTTAGGCAGAGGAAGCAGAGATGGGAGTCAGAGTACACTTGTGCTTTCTTGGACCCACAACTTTTGTTAGTTTTATGAATATACATGTGGGAAACCTGTTTTTAACTACTCATGATAGCATCTTGAATGGAGCAGCACATTTTCATGAGATACTAGGTCTACATAGGCAGAGTAGAGCATTTCTTCAATTTAAAGAAAAGCTGAAGAACTGCCCCAGCTCACTATATATACAAAAGGAAATTAACTTCATTCCTTTTACATTTTTGGACTTCAACTCCCATCAGTCCTAGTAAGTTAATAAATAGAAAAGGGTTATGGGAGATGCAATCTGGATCATCTAGACATCAACAGATGCATATCACTGTTCTATCGCTCTGTTTTCATAACTGCTAAAACCTTAATTACTCCTAAGTAAATCTCTACCACACTGGAATTGAAATAATTTGAGTGGGAAAAGAAGTCACCATTCTGTCTGTTCACAAGTTGCATTCCCAGTCATGAAGACAGTAAGGATTCTTAATGAGATTAGGAGCAAATTTTCCAGTTGTATGTATATGTCCTATACAGATCACAAAACAACAGCTTATTTATGCATATTAGATGGGTTCCTTAAATATAGATTATTGATAGATTCATTAAAACTCCAATTTGATAGGAAGGGTTTTAACATGGGTAAGACTGCCCATGAAAAAGACCTGCTAAAACACTGACACAATCCCTCCTTGGAAAAAAACTTTACATACCATTTATTTCAATGCAGTTTGTGAAAGAGAATTCTCTGCTGAAAGTTATCTAGCTGTAGAATTTACTATTGTTCATTTCAAGTATTTTCTTAAAAGTATGCAAATACTTTGTTTACAATTATAGAAGGGTATATAGGTGTTTGGAGACAATCAGCCATACAGGAACATACTCTTAAAGGCATACACACAGAGGGATTCAGTCAAACTCATTTTGATAAGTTTGATAAGGAAGATGTTACTAGTGAATTTCATCCCTTTTTAAAAGTCTTTTTCAGAATCTGTTCAGATTTGTATTTCACACAGGTTATTTGTCCTGAGGTTTCAACACAAATGTTTGAATGTATAAAAACGTCCTGATTCTTCCGAATCATAGAAATCAATTGAAATAGACAATTTCTGTTACATTTCTTTTTAAGTTCATATAACATGCACAAAAAGATCTGGTCTAGATCTTGAACGCCCCTCAATATTTCTTATAATTATGCCCTTCTCCTTTAGCTAAATACTAATCTATCACTATTCTTAAAGGTTTATTTTACAAAGAAAAAAGAGAAATCTAAGGTATTGAATGGAAAACTGTCTTTTTCCTTTCTCAATGTATCTCCACTCATATGCAAATTGTTGAACAGGCTTACCCCCTTGTCAAGTATCACTAACCCAATACTGTTATCTACAAAAATACATCTTTACAAATTATTCACTGCTATATTCCCCTCCCTCTTCTTTAATTCTAAATTTAAATAGTAAATTTAACAGCAAAATTGAGTTTGCTTACACAAATAAAAATCTAACATCTGGAAGGAGAAAAATAGAGACCCCCCCTTTGTTCTTCCCATCAAAATGATTACCTACCCTTTTTTATGATTTTGGTTTTAAGGTCGGTTAAGGACTGTGGGACTCTCTCACAAATGTCTTTGCATTTGTCTGCGTAACTTCTCTTGAACGTGAAAACAGGGTATATTTGATCAGAAACTGTTATGTCCTCCAAATGGAAGCAAAATAAAGGATCCTTTGGGGAGATGATTCCTTTATTATGCCTCTACTTTGGCCTGACATTCTTTCTTGCACTTAAGAGTTTACATTTTAATGGCTATATATACCAACATTTGAAGGACACACATTGGAATACTATTTTCAATGGAGTTGTGCCATGTTCCGGTAAACATTCATATATATAAATATATAAATATATATTATATTATATTATATTTATTGGTTATAGCCAGTTTTAAACTATTTTTTTCTTTTGTTGCATTATTTATCCCCAACATTTATGTATTTATAAGGAAAATGGACTTTTTTTTTTAGTACTGACTTGTTATAAAGGACTATGGTGTCTTTTCTTTGTCATTGTACAACCAAATTTTATTTTCCATTATTCCTTCTCTCCTCCTTCTGTTTTAGTTATTGTAATTTAGGGAAAAGGCCAGTAGTTACCTTCGTACTTAAAATAATGTGTTTAGTTCTACTGGAGGCATGAAATCAGGTTGTAATTGTATAGTCCTCAGTTAGAAGAACTAGCTAATCCCCACCCCATCTAATTCTCTTCCTTCACTTCTCTTTTTTGAAGCATCTTCCTTTGTTCTTTACAGTAGATAAGTTTCTTTCTTTGCTGAAAGGGTTGTCTGTTGAACAATTCTTGAATAAACTTTCTGTTCTTAATTTATTCTTGTCCCATTTGTCAGATTTGAAAACAGGAAGAAAAAGGTATCAAATAGAATGAAGATGTTCAATTTTTTTAAAATTAGATTTCTACATTTTTTAGCCATTAATGAGAAAGGCATTTATCTGTCTTATCCCACCTTCTTTGGTTCTGTTTATTCTTTTGGTAATGACAGTCACTCCTTTATTTTGGAGATTATAGAACAAGAGGACTTTTCCCAGCTGATTATAATTATTTTAAAAGTTAATCATTGGGGAGTTGATTTCCCTCCCACTCCCTCCACAATGGCCCCAGTCTCCCCCCCATCCGCTTGAAAAATCTTGTTCTAAATAGTCTCACGCCAATTAAAATTACACTTCATCCTCTGCAGATACAAAGAAGGATGATCACGTGCTGTCCAAATTAAACAGCCATTGGGCCTAAAATGAAAACAAAGAAAAATGATTAATCATAACAAAAGCACACAGGCTTTCTTACTGAAATTAAGAGTGAGTGGGGGAGAACCTAAGGTGAAATTAAATCACTAAGTAAAGCAAGAAAAGAGTTGGAAGCAGATGCTGTTTGGAGCATTGAAAGTTGGGGGGAGGGAGGAAAAGTCCTTAAAATAGAGACAGATAAGAATTAAGCTTAACTTAATCTGCTTTTTAAGCTCCCAACCTAGATGAGAATTTACTCTTTACAAAACTCTTATGAGACTGGAGCTAATATGAATGTTCTATCAAATTAGAATGTCATGTTTTTATGGCAGTAGAATGATTCAAATCGGGGAAAAAATGCTACTAAAGAATAAAGCTATTATTATTAAGAGGATGCTTTGTTAACTCCACCTTTCTAGGAACGGGTATGGCAATGGGGCCTTCAAGGCAGAATTTGGGGGCAGAAGGCCAAACTTACCTGCATGAACTGCAAGAGGATTCCCAAACACTGCAAAACTGGTTATCAATGTGCTAAAATCAATAAGAGAACTGGACTGGGATTAAGTTCAGGACTCCCCTCCAAAACTGTTAAGCCCAGAGATTCTAAAATTATAGAATTAACTAGGAAGTTTGTAGATAGTTACAATCACTGCTGCTTTTCTATAGCATATTTTTAATTCATAGCAAACACTATCATCTGTGACTGAAGTCAAGCTTTTTGCCTTGCACTTATGAAATCTCTTGTGGGAAAGAAGAAGTTGAACATTTCATTCTGACTCTCTTTCTTTACTGGATTTGGCAAGTGGAAATAATTTTGTGCTTGGGAAATTTATGACTGGAAACATTTTTTTTTATTCAGCATAGTCAAATGTGGGGATTTCATTTGTGCAACATCCATGACCCTCCCTGTTCAGAGTTATTTGTGTGATCTCTTGATAGGCCTCTGCACTTACAGTATATTTCCTAAAGTAAAAACATAATGTAAGTTAATGCTCCTGTTAGAAAGGGCAATTGGGAACTGAAGTAGTCTTTCTGTGGCACATCCCACTGCTTGTTGGATGGTATAAAGAATTATATAATACTTCCAGGAAGTTTCTAACCTTGAAGTTTAATTTCAAAAACCTTTTTCCAAGCAAGCAATTGAGACCTTGGGCAAAAGAGATCTGTCCCTCTCTTGGCAACCCTATTGTCCAAGAAGGAAAATGAAAGGAGTGAGTCAGAAGCAGTGAGAATGATGGCTCCACCCACTGCTTGATTCAACTCCATGCAATGGAATGTGGCCCCATATAGAGGAATATTCTCCAGCAGAACAAAATGCCTATTTATCTTTGGTCCCAAAAGTCTAACTGGAATATTGCATATTCATAGGGTGAATTAGGAAGGCACAACCAAATCAGTTGACAATATGCTAACCTTGGTTATAATGTATTTATGTATGAACAATTTTGAGAACCAAATCTGTTGGATTAGTCTAAAATTCAATGTTGTGCATGAAGCTAGAAAATAAGTGAATTCAGTAATGACTTTGGGTATGTAGATTGAAGACAGCCTATATATTCTGGTATCAGTTTTAGTGAGCTGATACTATATTTTTCCTGTAACAATCATATGCCTTTTGTTCCCATCCCATTAAACCCATTGCTGTCTGTCATAATTCTGTACAGGAAAAAACATATCTTTGTAAATCAGGTGCTGGAAAACAATAGAAGAAGACTTCTGTCTTTGTGTCCTGCTTGTGAAGAATGGGAGCATCTGCTTGGCCATTATAGAATAAAAGATGGTCGACTAATCAGATGCAATAGCAATTTTTTTGCTCTGATGTAGCTGATTAATACCAGTTTTAGAGAAAGGCATTATCCAACATCAGACTTGAGACTGTACAATCTCAGGGGGATTAACTGTAAATGAATTGTATGTTCTCTGATTATAGGCCCGATACAGATATAACTACTATTGTTTTATGGATCTGCTATTATGTGTACTTCCCCTATGCCATAGAAATAAAGTGTATAGGGTGGAACAATCTTAGCTGAATTCAGGTTGTGGTCCTTTCTGCAATAGCATCAGTTACTTCCAAAAGTTTTATGGAAAGAAATCAAAGCATTAATTTGCCACAGCATTCTCCAACCTGATTTGTTGGACTGCAGTGATCATGAATCATACTGGTCACATTAACACAGAGATAAATACTTGCTACAGTGTATTGTCCATAAGTAAATGCTTGCCCATATTAAAAAAGGCCTCATTACATTACCCATGTACATGCTATGTGAGCCACTTCATATGCTAAATTTGTTGAAACACTCTAACTCTGCAGATATTTTTTGTATCATGTGAGATAAAATATATATAGGACAAAGAGACCATAGGCCAGGTTCATAGAACTTTTTTCCTGCACTTCATTAACATCTTACGGAAGTTGACAGGACTAGTTTGGCATAGTTCTTAGAAAGGCTGCTGCATATTGCTTTATAATTACATTGGATTGTTTATTGTAGTACAGTAGAAATGTGATTTCAATTTGCTGTCAACTGAGCTCCAAACCAGTTTCATTGTCTTCAGCAGGATGACTAGAGAGATTCTAGATAGCAACACTATTCTCACAGCTTTAAAGACTTATCTTTGCATCTATTGTTGGTCTGTGGCTCTATGTTTAACTAACGAACGTAAGGGTAAGGAGAAAAATAGCTTCTACAAACAGGCATGAATTCCAGGCCCGAGAGACCTAAAAAAATATTTGATTTTGTTTTGTTGGTATATTAAGTTCCACTGATAATTAAAGCTTTTATGCAATCATAAATAACAATTTTTTAAAAGGACCCGAAGTACCCTTTCTTGCATTCATGGCTGTAGCTGGGTTATGCTCATCCATCCAAGAAGTAATTTAATATTCTGTGGTGCTGTAATTTAAAAGCATAAGAGCGTGGAAAGTTTGATTGGGATCTGATCAAGCAACAATAGTCAGGAATGCAGTATGTCCCCCTCCCCCACTATCATTTCTCTGTCTGTGATTTTAAGGATGATTTAACCCAGCTAAAATATTGGCTCCCATGTTATTCAGACCTTTGTGAAAGGGTTTCCTCAAATAAATTATTCTAGCAAAAAGGCCTACTTCCTACTACAAGAAATAAATCCTAGGGAGTAATAGTGCATTTTTTTATCTTATATTAGTATTGCCATTATTATATACAAATAACTAAAGTCCTATTATGCTTCAGAACTTGGCTTTCAAAAATTAAGAATTCAGAATCAGATTATAAATTTAAAATCAGTATTATTTTATGTGGAAGTGCCTCATATTCTCAGACACATTGGACTAAATGTGTCAAACAAGGAAAATTCTTTATTATTTTTAATACTTAAATATTGCTTTTTTAGCAACTGTACAATCCTACATTCAGAAGTAATTCTACCCAATTAAAAGGTTGTTATCGCAGCCTGTTTCAAAATATTCAGGTCAAATGAAGGTTAATTAGCCAGAAGATTTTAACTTTTGACAATGCCCAGAAAAGCTCACTTTTTAGTCATACCTTCACCAGTTAAAATATTCTCCCCCTGCATTCTTGTTACATTCTTTCCAACACTTTTTCTCTATATTTAGTTGAATAAGCTAACATCAGAATCTTGTGTAAACAGATACTGAGAACTAGAATTTAAGTTTAAAATCTTCTCTTTTTTCTTTATTAAAAACAATGGCAAGTGTTGTAAAAACAAAAATGCTTTAAAAATTGTATAAATTTACTTTTCTTCTTAGCATTCACTAATTTTATATCCCTAATAACTTGACTTTCATCAGTTCTATTTTTCAATATTTATATTTTTAAAAATATGCACTGATTTACAAAATAAAATTTTATTTTATTCATAAAACTAACTTTTCCCAGAGTGAAACATTTATTTAGATCTTCATTTTTAAAACTTTATAGCCATCCTAAAGTTATAACTCTTAGGGCAACATACAGTTTAAAGAAAACTCTAGTTCCTACACATACATTAGATGATACCAGTCCATTAGAATAGTTTATAAAAGAAGCAAAGTTTTAAAATAATCAGAATACAACTAATGAAAGCAGCAGAACAGAAATTAAAAGGCCTAGCATACCAAAAAAAAAAAAAAAAATGCCATACAAATGGCACAATAGAATCAAACGGATCTTAATGGGAAGAAGATTCCAAAGCTGGGAAGGACTTCCATTAAGGGTTCAGCATGTGAGGATACCTGGAGCAAGACCTTTCATGATAATCTCAGGGTTGGGGCAGAATTTATCACAAGTTAGTTATATTAGATCCAAACATGTCTGTTTCTGGGTCTAAAACATGAATTCATATAATCTTGCATCTATATTACTACAAAACATTAATTACCATTATTCTAGATGAACCAGAGAGACCAACAAAATCAGTGATTTTTAGCTGAAAGCAATGAATGGCACTAATATCAGCACTGCAAATGCAACTAGATCAAACATGATCAGCTAAATGGACTTTATGTGGAAAGGAGGTGTTCATTCATAGCATAAAAGGAAATTGAAGATGAAATTTGGCAACTTCTCTGCAGACTAAACTCAAGCACTGAAAGGAAACTTATAAATACACTGATTTGTTTCTTTTTTTTTTCACCCCACCTTAATGCTTTAGCAATCTAATATAAATAGAAGCATTCATTTTCTTTCCATTACTTTTCTTTTACATTCCATCCTTTTCCCATTTGGAAGGTTGTAACAGAATCAAATGTTGAAAGGTTATTCACTTAAAAATTATCCAAAATAAAGTAATTTTATGAAGATGACTGTCACTTTGGAAAATGTAGGGACTAGATAATAACATTGCTACTCAGATCCATTGCTCTGTTGAAGGGGCATCCATTTCAACAGAATGTTTACTCTCAAATACAATGATCTTAAAAAAACCCCAGACAGGATTGAGTCATGAGCAATGTATTCCAAAATAATATACCCGCCATAATTTGGGGCAGGAAGTAGTAACTTTACTGCTTCCAAATAACATTTTCAGCACAGATTTGAAATATTTAAGATTTAATAGTTCTACAAGCCACAGCAGAGCAAACACCTTTCAAAATACTTCATTATTTTTGCTTTTGCCAATAATGCTAATTATTTACAGTACTGTAGTTTTCAGAACACATCTGAAGTCTGCCCACATAGACTTTTGGAAATCACTTTTTCCTCAGTTAATTATTTCTCTCAGACTTAAGATTTTCATAGCACATGGGTGTTTGAACTGACAAATATTCTAAGTTTTGCTTCTTTCCTCTACTGAAGTTTTCCAGCTCTATTTTCTAGTGTTTCTGAGGTTAGAGCTTGAATAAACAAATGGTAAACAGCATTCTAGATTTTCATATGCTCTTTGGTATTTATCCTTCTTAACTTCATCTCAATTTCCCACCCACAAACCTTCAAACTATTTTATTTAGTACCTTTACCAATCAAGTCCAAATCTGTAAAAAAAATCTTCCTTCAGAAATTCTGATAAACATCCAAGTTCTTTAAGAAGTGAGCAAAGCCTGGGCTGTCAGAAGTCTTTGGTAAGAAAAGATTGATCACCCTCCTCTCCCCCTCAATCTCTGCTCTTTACTTGCTCAGTTTGTGGGCAACTTTTAAAAAGGGGGTGGGGTGTGGTGGCCTACAAACTTTTTTAGATACATCCTTAAGAACCAGTTTTGATATCTGAAGTTGATATTTAAAATTAAGTTGACAATCCCATAAAATATTCATTTGAGAGGAGAAAAGAGATAAACTGTGGGCAAGGGAAGTTATTGTTTCCTGTAATCATCTTTCCCCATCATCTCAAACATCCCAAGGTCTCTAATTGGCTGCTCTAGAATGTATTATCCGAAACACTTTCTAAAGTCCTTTCATACAGATTTGAATTGGCCAGTTTGGAATTTTTTAATTCAGGTAAGACTCAGATCAGCTGTTTCACATGAGTTTGTTTCTCACTGTTTCAGTATGGCTGGTTGTTAAATGAAAAGTGTCTTTTATGTTACCTGGGATATTTCTTCTGTATACTTCTCCTCTCTTTCAACACCCCTTTCCCCATCTTCACTCTTTCTTCTGCATTGGGCCTATCACTCAATCCATTTGCCAGATAAACTTAAAAGACAAACTCTATCCATCACTAGCTGCCCATCATCTTCTTGCCCACTATGCCTCTTCAGTCAACCTTAAGAAGCATCTTCCTCTGGATTTAGCTTTTGTAATCAGGACAAGAAATCTTCAAGCATGACAAGTGGGAGTATTATTGCTGTTATTATTGTCATGGTTGCTATTATTATTAGCCATGATGGGGAGGGGGAACCCCAACCCTCTGTTTTCAACTAGGTTGGACCAGCTATTGGGCTAGCCAGGTCATGTGATGAGGAATTGGCTGCAATTTATCCCTGCTCCTCGGTTTAATAGAGCAAGGTCCCCATACGCCTGTTTTATCAGCAATATAAGATATTAAAAAATAAAAATAAAAAGGTGGGTAGAAAAGAGGGAGGAGACTGCAAATAATACTTACACTAAAAGGATATAAAATATTGGAAGGGCCTGAAAGATCCAGCGTTCCTTCCCCACCCACCCACCCACATCCCCCGCCCCCTCTTTTTGCACTGGGCCTCTGGAAAAAGCCATGAATTTTGAATTTGAGAGGGAGATAGGCTTCATAAACAGCCAGCCATCGCTAGCGGAGTGCCTGACGTCCCTTCCTGCTGTCCTGGAGACATTTCAAACTTCATCAATCAAGGAACCACCGACGTTAATTCCTCCTCCTTTGGAACAAACCCTCCTCGGCTTGCATCCTTGTTCCAGCAGCCAGCCTTCTCCGCCAAGGAGCCAAAAGAAAGCAAGGCATGGGCAGGCCCAGAAAATCACGTTCCAGCCTTCTGCTCTGGGTGGAGAATTCCCCTGGATGAAGGAGAAGAAATCTTTTAAGAAAGCTAACCAGGTCCCTGCCTCTTTGTCTCCCTCCTCTTCTGTGCCTGGATTTGTCCCTGCTTCTCCTGCAGGTCTGTAAAGGGGGGGGCGGGGGAGGGTGAACATTTGGGTGGCTGGCAGGGTGGGGGGAAATGACAAAAAAATCTGCTATTTAAAACTCACTAAGTCTTGGAAAAGGCGGCAAAGGAATATCCGTCTCCCATTTCTAATTTCAGTTATTGAAATATTAGGATGAATCCTTCCTTTCTTCCTTCCTTCCTCTCTCCCCCTGCCCAGCCAGTCTTCAAAACTGAGTAACTGCACTTCAATTTCTCCTATTTCACATCGTTTTTATCTCTCTTGTATGTTTCTCTGTGAGGTGTTGATTCCAGGGATGAGAATGAAAGGCAGTTTGCGTGTTTTGGGAAGCATGGGGAGTGGCATTGGCTATAAAGTGCTCTGCTTCTATTTTCAGCGTAGCTGAAGGAGGAACAGAAAGAAAGCAGAAGGGAAAACCCAAACTCTTTTTTCCTCCGTTTCCCTCTACAGTTCACCAAAGGAACCCTTCTTTAGGCAACCAATCCAATGTTCCAAAATCAAACCATCTCCATCATGATGCCCTGAGGAAGAAAGGGTTTTGCAGGAGATAAAAATCTTAAGGACCTGATCGAAAATTCCCCCCCCCCCCACTTAGGCTAGTGTAGGAGACGCTAGCTTTTGAGGCTTTTTATTTTTAGTTTAGTGATAGGGAGATAAATCTTTTAAGACATCCTGCCTTTCTCTCTCTGCTTTCTGTTTTTCTTATTCATACTTTGTGTTATTTGCTTATTTAAGTAGTTAGTTTTCTGTCACTTAGTTGTGAATATCCTCCTTTTAAACGCATACAGAGACACAGGACAAAGGAACAGATAAGAGACAACAAACATCCACTCTTGAATGTGGATTCCTTTATAGCTGAAGGCAGCTTTCCAGAATGCATACCCCCCAGCCCCTACGTGCATTTGGCATTAAGACCGAACCATTTTACATTGTGTGGGTACAGAGGCACTGGGGGTCGAGGAAGAATCTGTGCCACACAAAACTTAGTAAGATGCCCAAACCATTTAAAACGGTTCTCTCCCCTCCCCCTTTCCCATCCCGCAGCCCTGTGTCGATCCCCACCCCCGCCAAGAAAAAACAGAGATGGGACTATTCGTTTAGCTTTAGCCGGTTGTGTTACTCTGTATAATTTTGCTGTTTTCCTCCTCCAGACACGTGTTTGGACCACAGCGCAAAAGCTTCCCGACGGCTGAGGACGGCTTATACCAACACGCAGCTCTTGGAGTTGGAGAAGGAGTTCCATTTTAACAAATACCTCTGTAGACCCCGCCGGGTGGAAATCGCAGCTTTGCTAGACTTGACGGAAAGGCAAGTGAAGGTCTGGTTCCAGAACCGTCGGATGAAGCACAAGAGGCAAACGCAGCACAGTGCAGATCACGCCGAAGAAGACCAAGTCAGCAGCCAGAAAACGGGGGAAGCCAAGAACTACAGCTTTTCCTGCAGGGGAGAGCGGAAGACGCCTTCTTCCTACCCAGCCGGCAGCCACAGCAGAGAGATTCGGAGTGCTTCAGCGCTTTACCCGATGCTCAGCCAGGGCAGAGCTTCGGCCGCGGAGCTCGGCGGAATCGCCGACGCTCGCACCATCTCCTCTTGCTCGTCCTCCTGCTCTGCCTCCTCGCCGGGCGACGGGTTCCCGGAAAGTCAGAGGTCCCCTTTGCTGCCGTTGGACCCGAGTACCTTCTCGGCTAATTCCTGCCCACAGGCCGCAGGAGAGCTTTCACCCAGCTTCCAGGGCTGCGCAGATAGCCCTATAAGTTTCTGCCTAGAAGACCTAGACTTTTTTACCAGCACGCTGTGTGCGTTGGATTTGCCCCATTTCAATTTTCAGTAATCTTGCGAACCTCCAATTTATTATCTGCCTTGGGTGATGAACCCCTATAAATACAAAGTGTATGCACATACCACCCAGTTAAATGCAGTCATTTCAAACCAGTTTCATTTAGCCATGAAACTCCCCTTTTTCCTCAGTACTTTCTTGGAGAGAAAGGTGCATCTCTTTAGTGAAATGATCACGTTAAATTATTTTGATCATTTTTTCCAAAGGGAATTTCAATAACATTTAGATTTCCTTTATTCTACACCCTCTCGCAAATGCTTGATGGAGTATCTGAGGTCAAGCAGGTGTTAAAAATATTAAATAATTGTGTAAGGAGGGTATTTTTTTAGCTCAAGAAAAGATGCCCTTTAGAATTTGAAACATTTCAAACACCAGATTCTTTTTTCTCCCATACCAGTATTTCAACCATTCCCCATCTCATTTTGACAAAAGTAGATATTAACAAATGCAGAACAAGAAGAAAATGTCCTAATAAAATTCTCAGGAACCAAAATAAGACATTTAGATGTCTTAATTTAAGAAAGAAAGGAAGGAAGGAAGGAAGGAAGGAAGGAAGGAAGGAAGGAAGGAAGGAATTATCTTTTAGAAGTAGATTATTTATTTAAATGTTTTAATATTAAAATGCAAACTATTTATTGTACATTATTTTCATAGATTAAATAAATTGCTTTATAGTCTCTAAAATGCCGCATTCTTGTTTTATAGGCATTGAAAGAAAGAATTTAGTTTAGCTTTCTATCCTGTCAGTTTTTCAGATTTTATTCTTAGCAGTGTTTAAAGAATTATAGTGTAATATAAATTATTATTTTTGGGGACTTTTTAAATAAAAAGACAAGGTATTCTTATCAGTTAATTCTGTAAGTTTACAATACATCAGAGATATTTTAGAATATTTGTAACAGTTAAAGGAAAATATTTTTAAAAATTAGCTTGAATAATTACAGATCACATACAAATACACAGACCCACCACAGATACACATTCCAGATTTGAGAAGAATTTAAATACCTGGAGCCAGACCAGTTTGATATGTCTGCAATATGCCTAGCAAATCAGAAAGAAAGGTTAGAATGAAAAAAGGCAATATTTGTAAAAATGTTCTTAAAATGAACATGTATTGTCACCACCACTATAATCAATACAGCAGCAATGTCACCAGGTTTTTTGGAATCTTTATATTTTATTTTTGCTAATTTTGCTTTGTACTTATGGATTTCCTATTCATTAAAAAAAGGCAGGAAATGAAAATGGAAAGAAGAATGGAAATACTAGTAAGAGAATGGAGTCCAGACTTTTGAATTCTGTTTCTGCAGGCTTACAGGACAAAAGTCAACTTTTCAAAAATGGAAATATTCTGGAAGATAAAGATACTAAATTAACCAAAAAAAGGGGGGGGGAGAAAAGAAGAAATATTATTCGCATGAAACCATTTTTTTGAACACTTTCGGTGTAACATATCGATCTCTTGAGATCAATTCAAGTTAAAACAAACCGAAACAAAAGACTTTGGATAGTCTCCTGCGTGGGGAGGATTGGCTGGAAAGCAAGCAGCTGCGAATATGCTTCTTCGCCAATAGCGCTCACTTATTATTTGCAACTCCAAATTTCTGAGATCAAAACCAAAAGAGTGATTTAAAATGTCTGGCGTTTGGGAAAGTTTGCTGGATTATGAAAGGGAAGCTTAGAGAAGTAACGAAATGAAAACAGTAGCTCTCTGACAAACATATTATACTCCCGCACACAGACGGGCGCGCAGACACAAATCATATTGCGTCTTTGTTAAGTCACGGGTATTTTTCCTAGCATGGCAGAATTTTGGGAGGCATTCAAATCGCAACGGTTGGTCAAAGTAATGCCTGAGACCCGAGAGAGGAGCAGAAGGACGAAGAACCGACGGCGGAAGAGGGGGTGTCGAGAAATGGAAACTCAAGATGGCGTATGGATCTTAGGCTGCGCGCTCGGGGGGGGGGGAGAAGAGGGCACTGCAGCAGATCCAGGCAGCCATTATAGATGGCAGAAATTGTTTTCTTACTACGGGGGAGCGTGGGCAGATAGGAATGCAGGCTGTGGTTGAGCAGGCTGTGAGCTTCTGATATCCCAAATTCTCCGTTCATCAGATTGTAGCTCAAAAAGATTTGACAATTATGCAATGAGCTTAGATATCTAAGCGTTTATTAACTGCATTTTAAGAATAACGGATATACATTTCCCTTTCCATGAGAATAGATATATTTCATCTCTCTTCTTGCATTTATTTTTTTTAAAAACCCATCCCCATAAAGCCTAATTGAAAGGGGTCCATATTTATGGCAGAAAAGAACTAACCCCTGTATGTACATTCTCTGAAGCCTCTTCTTTTATTTTGATAATAGTATATTTTAAAATTTAAGTTCAGGCAAATTTTCTGCTCTGGGCAATACAATAAACTGCCTTGCACTGGTTATTAGTAGCAGCAGAATAAATTCATATTCATTTTTCTACTCTGAAGAAGTAAAAAAAATATATTCTGTAGCTGGGCAAAAGTAATCAATGAGAAAGGAAGATTTATTTTATTTCACACTTTCCAGATAAACAGCGGCTTATTAAAACCAGCCTTTTCACATACAGAAACAAACATGCACAGAATACAATCTTGCTCTGGTTGGTCTCTTTATTTTGTTTTGCAATAGTGTGGATCTAAAGATGACAGCTTTGTAATTGATCCTGCGTGGGATGATCTTTTCCATAGAAACAGTTCCTGATTTTTGCCGGCTCTGAGAAAAACCTCTGCTTAGCAGCTGAGTAGAACAAACAAGATTCTTGCTCAGTGTGGACAAATCTGTCATACCTGCAGCAGACTTTGCCTCCAACATTGTTCTCAGTAATACAAGAGATTATGAGGTCTTGTTTTCAGATCCCATTATTCTTCAGCACCCTATAAGCACTAGTAATGGGGTGTGTGAATATCTGGACATTTAAACCAATTTCATAGATCATGCCAATCTAGTTATTTATTTGAATTCAAATAAATCAAATTCAAGCATTTTCCATGGAGACTTACTTGCATTTTAAACAGTTGAGTCAATCCAGATAGAATCAATTTAATTCAACAGTTTGGCCCAATATTATTGGGACATCCAAATCAAATCAGACTGATTTTCCAAATACATTTTGTAACTTTGCAAAACATTCAATTCAAATATTCCTGATAAATTCCCCATTGTCTTATTTTGTTATTATATTCCTTCTTCAGCTCTCTTATGGCCATAGTCTTGGCCCTTCTCCCTTCTGGACTTGTTTCCTATGGAATTCTGAATAGCAGACTAAGTATATAGAAGGTCTCATACTTAGGGATTGTGCAGTCAAGGATTCCCAAAGTTGCTATGAAAGTATTACTGCAGCATAAAGGGTAGTTTACGAAATATGCAGGGATGAATCATATGAACAGTTAATTCATATTCCTCTTTGTTTTGGCATCATTTTTTTTCAGTCCTGTTTCCTTTCACTCTTTGGAGACTGGCTCCTGACATGCTACTCAGGCTAAATATGGCTCCAATTTAAAAAAAAGATTGTATATCTTAGTTGTATACAGACAAGCATTTGGTATATGTTTCCTACTTATTCCTAAGCGTAAATAAAAAGACCTACATGAATATAACTGGGATCTTTATGGGAGAATATACAAGGATACACAAATACAGGTAGTCTTCAACTTAAAAGCATTCATTTAGTGATAGTTCAAAGATACAATGGCATTGAAAAAAGTGACTTATAACTGGCCCTCATACTGCTGCAGCATCCCCATGGTCACAAGTTCGAAATTCAGGCGCTTGGCAGGGCATGTACTTAGGATGGTTGCAGTGTCCTGGAGTCATGTGATCATCATTTGTGACCTTAGCTGGCTTCCAGAAGCAAAGTGAATGGGAAAGCTGGATTTGCTTAACAACTGCATGATTCACTTAACAATTGCAGTGATTTGCATGAGAACTGTGGCAAAAAGGTCATAAAACTGGATGCAATTTACTTAACAATCACTTCGCTTAGCAACAGAAATTCAGTTGTGATTATAAGTTGAGGACTACCAATATTGCTTAATCATGTACGCGGCTTCCTTTTTTTTTCTCTATTTGTCTACTTTTATAAAAAGGAAATTAACAGTTGCATCAGTATTTATTGCAATTTATTCAAAGAACTCAGTTAATTCTCCCCATATTCTCTTAATACCAATTCTGTGAAGTTAAATAAGAGGCCCAAACTTGCCTGGCCCAAAATCACTTTCAGACTTTAGATGTCAGCAGTCTCTCAGTCAGATTTTTTTCTGTTAAATCCAAGTGTATGTGCATGTGTGCATATATAGTTGTTAAAAAAAAAAGTTCTCTGCAGATATGATATTCAACTGTAAGGCTGAGTGGTTGATCTAGGAGAGTGATGAGAAATCTTTTGGGGTCAGTGTGTCAAAAATTCAGAAAGTGCCTAACCTGACTCTACTGGCATATCACCCCCACCCATGAACCAAAGAGAAACAATTCTATTTCTCCCTATCACTGGACCAACCTGAATAATGGCATTCAACTTCCACCCTAGCACTACTGCTGCCATTTGAAAAGGCCACCTTGCACTGTTCCCAAGGCACACAACTTTCAGAGGGTCCAAACAAAGGCCGCACCGACCACATTCATTCTAATGCGGCCTCCACAACTTCCAAAAATTGCACAAGAGTGGGGTTTTCTTTCATGAATAATTGTTGTTTAGTGTTGGTGAATGTTGGTGTATTGCCCAAAATGTCATGGCATGTCATCTTTGACACATGTTATAGGTTTGTCACTACTGATCTAGGACTAGGGAAACTCCAGTTCAGTTCTCCTTCAGTCATGAGGCTCATTATTACATTGGTCTGGTAATTCTCTCCTGGTCTAACCTCCCTCAAAACATGATTGTGAGAATTCATGTTGGAGAAAGAATAATATATAGCGACATGAAGCCTGTGGAGGTGAGCATGTAAAAGTAATAAATCAAAGATGAGTAACTTGAAGTCCCGGGACTATATGGAACACTTTTACTTTTTTACTTTTTTACGATTCCCAAAGCCTCTCTACACTACTGCTGAAAGTTGGCAACAATGTTCTCTGTCATTTTGAGACAAGAATCACATGCAGTATAACTCTTTAATAATTGCTTAAAAAATAAATATTTTTTGAAAAAAAAAAACAAATCAAGAAATTTCAAGATTGGAGGGAATCTTGAGAAATAAAGGTCTACAGATTTGCCTTAAATGTTCAGCTGCAATTTCATTGCATTACAGCTATGGTCAATGCTAAGTCTAATATTACAAACAGCAACAAAACACGAGTTACTTAATTTGCTTTAAATGTATGTCTACTCCCAAGGGTCTCTTGGATGATATTCCAAATCACCTAACCATCTTGTGCATTTCAGTTTTGCATATAGGAAAGGATATATTATTTACTCTTCCGCTTTGGAAGCTCTGGACATATTGAACTACATATTCTGGCAATCATCCTTAAACATTCAGAATGCAT